TTTGTTAATATTTTACTGATAATACTTTTAACATTTTATCTTTATACAATAAGAGATAGAAAAAGAATGTAATAAGTATTAATTTATTGTATCCTCTCTTATAAAAAAAGAATACAAAGTGCGGTTTTTAGAACATAATAGATACAACTTTACTGCCTTATTAATAAAAATTGCTTATTCCAAGCTTAATTCGAAGTTAAACTTGGACTAGCTAATCTCAGAGTAACTGACTATTTATTTCGTTATTACAATGTTATTAATAAGCATGGAGTAACCTCGGACTAACTATACATTCCTTACGCCGGGATTAACGCTTGCGTTATGGCAACCAACTAATTTTAAAAGTAAAAAGAGTGAGTCAGTGAATGATTAGTGAATGAACTCAATGCTTGATGATGACATTAATGACAGTGACAGGCAATATTTTGAGTTTGACAAGAGATAAGTGTTACGTGTTGTTCCTTGTTCCTCGTGTTGTTTTCGGACTCGTTGGTAAAACTAAGTTCTAAATATAATCATTTTTAATATTATTTGTAACGAAATTTTAGAATTAAGAAAAGAGCGTGAAGGGCAAAATTAATTAAATAACCATTTTTGTTTTGTTTTTTTGGGGATAAATAAAATCTTTTGTACATGTAATTATTGTATATTTATTTAAAAAAATCGTTAATAAATGCTGCTCGAACAGAATTTCTTCTAACGGAGTTATTTACTAATTGTGTGACTGATATATTTTCATCATCTCCTTATACTACATCCTCAAGCAGATCTTGCTTTTGCATTGCAATGTATATAGTTTTGTATGCTCTTATTTAGTATTTAGTCCTCGCAGTAAACACCGAAACCTTTGCTTCCCTCCAAAGCATTGTTCTACAGTGTAACGGGGCCACCAGATGTGCGACCGGTTGTACATTCCTCCTTTTGTTTATTAGGACGCAGGATAGGAGCGAATAAATATGTGCCACTGTATCCATGAACTCTAAATTTGCATTTGACACAACCTGGAACAAAGCACTCATAACTTCTTTACTATGAAATAATAGATTGAGGTGATTGTGTTGAATCTAAGAAAATAACTAAGTACCTACATGGTAAAGATGGGCTAGCTAGGTGCTATAAAACTTACTTGTACATTTATTGAACTGTATCCTTTCCTGTTTATGTAGTATTGTTCGATATTTCCAGCGACTTTCGGGATTAGAATATGTAGCAATCAATAGCCCCAATCACTTGTCTAAATTCATAAAATGAATAAAAACCTGCAATCACTTTGTTCTGATCCACATCACATCTTGTCATTTTAATCCATTATGCTGTTTCTTACTGTTCAGTTTCTTACTAGTGCTTACAACTTATGAATTTAACATGGGTACCAACGCGTGTAAACGTACCTACGTAAAATTTTACAAAATGTCAAAATACGCGACTAGTCTATGCTAACTCAGTCGTTAAACTAGGTACCGCCAAAGATTAAATTTTATTCCGAGAGTAGATTCGGATTAGTTTACTCCCTCCTTACTTTATGTTTATTAAAACTGAAATTAGATATTTTAAGCTTTAAACTAGGAGTAAAGTTAATCTTGCTCAAGTCTGTGTTTATTAATAGGGCTGTTAGTGTATGGCTTAAAGCATTCTCTTCCTGTCAAATATGAAGGTATTTTGCCAAAGGTGTAAAAAAAAAAAGAAACTTATAATTCTATGCTGGAATTCTTATTTGTGTATCAATTTATATTTATTTAATATTGATAACAACAAACTTCATTCTGTGATTCATTAATCTTATATAATAAATCTTTACATAATAACCCTATACTACTAAAATTTGCGTAGTCTACTTTGTCTACATTTTACAAATCAGCAAGAATCAGAAATAGGCTAATTGTGACGTGTAACTGTGTGGTGGTGGATAGTTTATGGCATACTAGTATAATATATGGCAGTATCTATTTAACGCAAGACGTAACGTTACCAAAGTGTTTGAAAGAATTTTATATAATCAGTTACATCCTGTAATCAAACATACCTTTACACTTTAACAGCATGGTGTTCTTCAGTAAATATTCCCGGATTTTGTTACTCATAATAAGGACAAAAGGAACCAAGTCGATGCTATTTTCATGAACTATTAGCAAAGCATTCGATCACATTGAGTGTTCTATTCTTTTTTTATATAGAATAGGGTGACAAACGAGCGCACAGTCCACCTGATGGTAAGTGGTTGCTGCGGCCCAGAGACATCTACATCTATCCTCCGTTAAAAATCAAAATGCAGATGCGTTGTCACCCGTGAGGACTGAGATGGAATGCCTCGTTACCAGAAAAAGGATCTCCGGTTCTCTACACTCACCATAAACACAGCATTAAGCTACTATTTCACCTATTCTGTGAGAGCGTGGTCCTTCCCCGGTCGAGCCGACCCATTCGTGCTACAACTATACCACTAATATAACTGCAGCATGGCCCTACCACGTATAAAATTTCTCTTGCCAAATTAGCTGCAGCTGGTAACTAAGGCGAGTTTTTAGATGGTTTACATCTAATATTTTAATCAGATCAAAATTTGAAATAGTTTTACGTTTTGCTGTATAGGTATCTGGCGTTCCTTAAGGTTTACTACTTGACCCTCTGCTCTCTGCCATATTTGTCAACGATATTGCACGATGATTATGTCTGATTCTTCCTGTAATGGAACCTGTTCAGCTGTTGATTGCTGTGAACTGACATAGAAGAGATGGATAATATTGGAATAACGATAACGAATTCAATGGAATTAATTACTAAGTATCTTGACATCTACATCTATCTCGTATTAATAATACATCAGTGCTTTATTACCAGTAAAAAGGTTAAGTTCCTACTTGACACTGTTCTTCTTTGAGGGGATGGCCCTTCCCGATCGAGCCGACCTAGTAGTGCACAACAATAATATAGCTGCAGCGTGCCTATACTACTTTTAAGAAGATACTTTCAAATAAATATTGTTTTAGGAAAATCGGCGTGCATAGAAACACACCAAAGTATCATAATAATCAGACAAATGGCATAGCATACGGCAAAAATAAATAATCATTCATTTATATATTATATTATATTCCATCCATTAAAGCTTAAAAAAAAGTTTGCTACCGTACGTATTTTTTAATATATTTTACCATAGTTGCCACGCTTACCACGCTTGATGACAACCGCAGTTTTATATAATTTTTAGTTAATATCAGGAAGATGTGTCCATGTTCTGTTTCAGTTTTCCTCTGTTGCCTCTTACAAAACTCACGGGACGATATTAGATATATGATATATTGGTATTAGATATTCATACACTGCTACTAATAGGATTTATATATTATTATGTGAATATTAAATTAAAAAAAATCTACTTCAATCGCGCGCTGTTGAACTGTAAACTGATATGGTTCTCTGTGTATCTATTGAAATAGCCAATTGTCAGGACTGTAAGTCACGAATGAATTTATACTCATATTCTCGACGTGTTCTCAATTTCAGATTATAAGAAAAAATTTCCTTTTATCTTTCTTTTTTTTGTATCTCTAGCATATATTTATTTTAAATATTTTTACGTATAAGCAATTCAAAATATGAACAAGGACGAGGAGCGATTAAAAAATCTAAAATATTATTTTATCATGTAGGAATGAAAACTTTTATTATTTTTCCAAAAATGTTTTTTAATATTTCTATTACGCTTTTAAGAAAGACTGGCGATATTATTAATTAATCTTCTATCTTTTTGAAAAATATTTATTTATACTTCCCTTCGTTTTATTTTTTTGAAATTGGTGAACTTAAGCCGTATAAAATGAATTAAATAAGTGTAATAATAAAAAATATACGTGGTAAAAAGTACACTAGGCGTTAGTAGTACGTTATGATTGTACGGGCCAATAACCACACATTACTGACATGGCTCGAACCGCCGCACCGCAAATTATTTATAATGCACCGTCTATCATATCAAACTTTGATATGATAGACGTGATTTTTATAAACTGCTAAAGTAACAACTCGTGTGCTTACTTTATACGCCTCCCATACTGATGTAACATCGTCTTAAACTAACTTTAAAGTACATAGCTATATATAAACTAAATTAACTATCAAAGAAGCTGTACAAGTCGCAAATTGCGGCACGTATATCCTTTTTGGTCTTTCGAGCAAAAGTGAGCGTAATTTTTTTCGATCTCGCCTATGCCTACTTTTAGTCCTTTGAGTGCTTTAGTGTTGTTTTGAATACTGTGATAGCGATCAATGTGATTGGCCTCCTACAAGCGGGCCTCACCAATTGCCTTGAGAAGGCGCAAATATCGCGGTGTGAACAGCAACCGTATTTAAGGACTCCCTAAGTAGAACTTGAAATCATTTGGAAGACATCGACTTGGTGTTCTTTGGATCAAATTTGTAACTTCGTAACCTACGATCATCACATCAGCATAACATCTACGTCCAGACGTTCCTTGGAAGAACTGTTAGAAAAACTTGTAAAAAACCAACAACATTTTTTCGAGAACATCAAGCGATTGGTAACCAACTATCGTAGGGATAGCGAGTCGAAGAAGACATTGTACTATCTATGTACGCGTCTCAAAGCCCTGGACGATCTTTGGGGTAAGTTTCAAAGCAAACACGAGGTTCTTGTTAAAACTGGAGGAAGTGACGATAAGTACTTCAAAGAAAACATTTATGAGCGTACGAAAACTGTGTACGAATCTGCTGAGCACAACACGCAAAATTTACGGCTTAACTATCGATTAAACCTAGCACGTCTGAAGAACAGCCGAATTCCGTGTCAAATAAGCCTGAGAATAAGTTTGGAACATCATAAACCATTGCGGCAACAAATTTTTAACTTTAACTCACTTGATTGAGTGATAAGCATGATTAAGACAACGTGACTTTAAATTAAGAAACTCGAAGATAACCTGAACGCACTGAAAAATAAATGGGAAGCTATTAACAATATTCATTGCGAGTTAGACTTTGAACTAAAACTCATTTGTAGTTAGATTGAAGTTCAAATCATTTTTATAATGTTTGGCGTAGGTTACAGTTTCGTGCACAATATATTCTAGAATCTCGTGATACAACAAGTTTTCGAATATTTCTATAGCTGATTTTCCTTCCAACTCCGTAATCATATTTTCCAAACATTGTTTAGCAGTATTAGATTCCGGCTGTATTTCAGAATATCCTGGTTTACACTTACGCCAAGTGACTGTCTTGCTTGTCCGAGATGTGGTTTGAGTAGGATGATTTTCCGCGACGTTATCGATCGTGCACGAAAATTTCACTTGACCAACTACATCAGACACTGGCAAAACTTCCATATCGTCGTCATTGCCTTCTTCTATGTCAGTCATTTCATCTACCTCATCCGGCGGCAATGTGGCAACTTCAATGTCATTCAACTCCTCATCACTAGAATCTTCAATATCTTGAAGAAAGTCTACGATTTCGGACACCTTCAAAGCTTTTTTTACTGTTTTGCACTGGATCCATGATCTATAAATAATAAAAAATAGGAAATATAAATACATAGCCACACGAATACTTATAATCATACAGACAGGTATATTGTTAACAATTAGATAAAGAACAAAAATAAAATATTTTTACTTACCTATAATTTCTCAACCTTGTAAACAATTCACTTTTTTACTCTAGGATCTAGGTCTATAAACAATCACAATCGTTTCGTGTGACGAGATGTAATGTGTTTGGCGTAGACTAATCGACTAATGTAAACACAAGCAAGACCCCGTAAAAAACAAACAATTGACCAGTTTGAACCTGTACTTAGCGTGACAGGATCGAACACGCTTTCGCGGCAAATTGTACAGACAGGTTCCCAGTGTCATATTTATAGGACGGCTTATTTTTAATGTATATCACAAGTTCACAAATTGTTTTTTGTTTTTGTTTGTTTTATATTTGGTAGAGATCTAAGAATAAGTCTTCTGTACTTTGAAGTAGGAACGGTTTTCTTTTAGGGTATATACAATCGGAACTCAATGCTCTCATTCAGTCAACAAAAATGATCAATTTAAAAAAAAATTATATTAAAATTACGTAAACATTTTTTACTGCGAAAAAAATTTATTTTATTAGAAAAATAGTGTAAAAATATGAATTTCAACAGAAATAATAAAAATAAAAGTCCTAATATGTAAAAAGAAATTTTGTTAATAGTGTCCTAAAAATATGACAGTGGGAAGGAATGGGTTAATGATATTGTCAATATGTGCATCAAAAAGTAATTTAGAATCGAAAGATACACCAAGATCCTTTACTGACTGTAATCTCTCTATAGTAGTGTCTTGTAATTTGTAGTGAATTCATTCATAAAATTAAGTGATAGTCAACTGAAAAACATCTGTTTTTGCAATTGCAATACCTTTTGTCATTTTCTGTTGCAAGGATCACTTTGACGAAAACATATCTCAAACAAACATAAGTAAGCAATTAAGTTTAGTTCTGTATCAAATATTACCTGTCAGTAACACACAATCCTCGACATCAATATCCAACCGACCTCATTATTTTTTGAATAGCAGGTCCACATAACGTAACATTACTAAATAAGGTTAGATAATTGTTTGTTGTAGGCTCGGACGTGAGAAACAATCTTGTTTTATTTGCAGTTGTGCCCTTCAGAAATATGGAGTTTGGTTATCAGTCAATAAATCACACAATATTTAAAAAAATACGAAATTTAAGTGGGACCACTTTGAAATAAACTTTTTTAGAACAAAAAGAATTTTGAAAATACCTCTATATATGACAGAGTTATGTCCGAACATAAATAAAAATACAAACATGAAACTCCACATTTTCACAGTTGGTTAAAAATTAGTTATTAATAAAAAGGTGGAGTTTTTAATTCTTCTATACACTAAGTTGTCGTTGCACCGACTTCAAAATATGAAGTTATTTTTATTCTTTTTCGTTTTTTTTATTTCGGCTTTGAATGTTTAATGCATTTTTTTATCATTATGAATTTAATTGCTAAAATTTTTAGTTTATCGAGTTTTCCACATCTTTGGAACGTTATCTTCCGGTATTTTTATTATTACAATAGTTTAAGTATATTTAAAGAATTAATGAACGGTATTAAAATTATGGTAACAGGGGTCACATAAATCTCACTGTTTAATAATTAAGCATTGGTACTGTCCGAAAAACGTCAGTTCATGATTACGTAAATGAACAAAGGTAACGAAAATCTCGAAAGTCAATCTATTTATTTATTCAACATAATGGAGATAGCAGAACTTATATAAAATGACACATTAGCACCGTAACATTTTGTATTTTAGCTCAATTTTGTTTTCTAATGGTTTGCCTATACAGCATTTTAGTAAATTGGATAATTATTTATACTTTTACTTACTTTTACTAATTTTTTAAATATTTAATAATTATTTATATATAATTATAGAATTAACTAACATCGTTTTACATAAATGTAAAAATGATACATGCAAAATTTTGCTACAATTTGTTTGATGGTGGATATTAGAATTATAGTTGTAGCACGAATGGGTTGACTCGACCGGGGAATGACCACGCTCTCACAGAATACCGTAAGTAGCGTAAAATAGTAGCGTAATGCTGCTGTGTTTCGTGTGGTGAGTGTAAACAACCGGAGACCCTTTTTTATTGGAAACGAGGCATTCCATATTACATAGTCCTCACGGGTGACAACGCATCTGCATTTTGATTCGTAATCGAGGATAGACGTAGATGTGTATGGGCCACAGCAACCACTTACCATCAGGTGGACTATGTGCTCGTTTGTCACCGTATCCAATAAAAAAATGGTATGATATACTCGTAAGAGCGAAAACTTTTTCAACATATTCTTTAACATTGTATAAGATTAATTTTGTAAATGCGCTTCAACTGACTTTAAAATACGGAGGAGTTTCCCTTCGACGTCTAAGTCTCAAAGCGACTGTATGCCTTTTGCGCATATATTACGCGATATCCTATACTTTTAAACGAGAAATTCTCGTAATGTCTTTTTGTCCGTGTTTTCAGGCAATGAAAAAACTGCTACAATATAAGGATGTAAATTTTGACACTACGTTAATGATTGTAATAGCTCAAGTGGATATCGAGCGGTCGCGAAATCGCGAAATCGCCTTGGTTCGCGGCCTGTCTTCGATTCGATTTTTTACCCTTTTTTTTTCAAGTTCCCTTTTTTGCGACAAAATCTATTATTTCGAGCCCTTTTTATAATATTTTTTAAAAATACAAAAATTTTAATTAAACTAATTGCACTCATGATTTTTAATTCAAATAACCAGTTTAGTTCTTTCTATTATGTCAATAAGATCAAAAAATATTATTCATCAGTATGTAATTTGTATTTAAATGTAATTTCAAAAAAAAAAAAAAAACAACGAGCAAAGCTCGGTCATCCGGGTACTCTTCGTAAATTGTGAACCGATTTTAATGACTCTTTTAGTGCATTTGGTTTGTTCACCGGTTGGATGCCAGTAATGTTGTAATGTTGACATTTGAAAGAAAACGTAACATATTTTTCCTTACCGATACAGCCTACATAAAAGTCTACAGATGAATGAGGCCGCCCCCATAAATTGTTTCATGGAGATATTTGCCATAGTTGTCTTGTCACGCTTGGCAGGCAGGTTGACAATCGCATTAGTTTTTAATTTTTTTTTCATAAAGACGCTGCTGCTCATCACTTGGTTTTCATCCCTCAGCCGCCTCCTCTCACAACACAACACCCCAAAAAGGGATAGTGGATAATCTTACATCGCCACTACACTGTGATTGTAGAATAAATGAATGAAATATACTTTATTACATACCAGAAATACATATGAAAGAAAAAAAAACATAGATTATTTAAAGGTACATTTGACGGCCTTATCGCTTAGAAGAAATCTCTACCAGCCGGGCTAGCGTGGGCAGGCTACAAAAATTTTATCCCCCGATTATATCCACTGACAAGGGATAAAATTGTCTTATCCCTATGCCAAAGCTTTATGCACCCTGCAAGCATGGGCCTATGGTGGATATAATATTGACAGTAGATAAAGTTATCCCTGCGTATAGATAATATACCATAGTATAAAGCTATAAACTATAAAGAAGAAAAGAAGGGCACGTTCAAGGAAACAAAGCGGAACGCCACGAAACTGTGACGCTCCCGCAGTAAAAAAATTCGAAACTGGTAAATAATTATCGGAATTCAGTGTACCTAGTATCAAAATTTGCGTATTAACAAGACGCATCTAGTGGTGTATTTTTTTAGCTGGATAACAATTTTTAGTAATTTTAAGTGAAAACCCGTTTTTTCTCATATTAGCAAAACAGTAAATCGCTTGCGGCGGTCGATTAGTCGCCACAACCTGCAATTTTTTTAGTGATTTTGTGCACCACCTAGGGACTGATGTGTCCTGCAAAAATTTGGAATTTTTGGATAAAGGACACATGAATCATTAGAGGAAAAACGAAAACCACGTGGTTGGTGGTTTCGCGAACCAGGAGTCTGCGGCTGGAATTGAACATGTCACTTGCAGTGTCTCGGAAAGCTCTTTCCGAAAATATATACATCACCAGCCGGAAGTGTATATACTCGGAATAACCACACTTTTGCAGCTGGTGTCCCACGTCTTGTGAGTTTGTACTCCAATAACTTTTATTTTTGAGTAACGACTCCCCCCCTTCATTTTTTTGTATATAGAGGGGACAAACTCATGCCCTTACTGTGGGTGAAATTTTAAATTTTGAGATAAGCCGATTTTAATAGTGAATTTTTTTGTAAAACGTATCCCTTTTCGCCATTCCGTGATAAGTTTGTTTTACGTGTAGTGGCTAGCTAAACTAAGCACTAGCTAGCTTAAAAAAATAATGAAATTGTCGTTCACTTTAATAGTTAGGAATACATTGATTTATATCCATTTTACATTTTTTTCTCTTATTATCTTTATTTCATGCCCAACCTGTTTTATTCTATATTTGTTATAACATCTCTGCACGTTGTTAATTTTACATATTAGATTTAGTGTAGCTATAAGGTCCACTTTCTTATTATCCTATTTTAATTATGCAGTCTTCTTTCTTTGTTACAAATACTTGTCAACGCTTATTTTGTTGTAATATCCCATAGATATAAGAAAGAAGTGAAGTGTAATATCCACTTTATATTTTTAATTAATTTAGTAGACTTTATATAGCTGATAAGTTCTTTTTTGTATATACTTACCTTTTTTTCTCTCTTTTAACATTATTAACATAAATGTTTAAATTATTATTTCATGCCTTTCCTTTAATAATGTACAATACATTAAATGTTACTAATACATTACTGTGGCGACTAGAGACTACTGTAAATAATTAATGTAATATTAGTGTCATTGTAAAATAGTAAATTAAAATTTATATAGACAGTGTGCTAACTATAGAAATATTATATTAATTACTTATGTTTTTATTTATATTTTAATTTGTTTTGTTTTGTTTAGTTTTAAGATTAAGTAGATTTATATTAACTTATATTTTATTT